ATATATATATATATATAATTATATTAGAAAATGTCATACTTTAAAAAACAACGTAAACGAATGTATTAATTTGGTAGCCGACCCGAAACAAGTACTTCTAAAATTTGAATTGAAAAATATATTTTAATTGAAAAGAATAATTATAATAATAAGTACAAGTAATTCTAAATTTAGAATTGAAAAATCTATCTATATATAATAAGGATTAACATAATTCAATATTAGAAATATTTTCCCTCCAATTTCATTAATTATTGCCTAAAAATAGTAAATTAACACAAATGGAATCATAATCATATTAATTATCCTATTTCCCAATTACAGATTTGGTTTCCTCTTTTTATGGATTCTGCCATAAAAAGATAAAGCTATATCAATTAATCAACTAATTATTAAATAATGTACTAATACACTAGTGTGTACCCTGTGCGATGCACGGTAACAATATTACATTAATAATATTATAAATATACCTCGAGTTTGAGTCACTCAATGGCGAAAGTGGAAACTACTATTCATCCTATTTAAAAAGAGGAAGAAAAAAACTAATAATTATATATTAAAGTGTCGGGGTCAGACAATGTAAAATTATTTTGTATAAGAGAATATAAATTTTATATTATTTTGTATAATAGAATATAAAATTTGTATGTTTAATATTAAAAACACTTAAAATATTATATTAGTATATATAAAAGTATTCAAATTTTTTATATTATTTTTAAAAGATATGAAGTCACCTACAACTTTCTAAATAATTTTAGAAAGAAAACATATCTAAAAACATTTGAATTTAACATTATGTAAAAAAAAAATTCTAGACTATTTTGTAAAAAAAATATGTCTACAAATAATTAAATTTAACATCAATTATGTATATGTGTATATGTGTTATATAGACGAATAAGTAAAAAAAAAAAACAAATGTCTAAACAATTTGTTTAAAATAACTAAATATTATAAGGCTAATTTAATAAACACCTTCGGTCAAAAAACAGGAAAAAAAATCAAATATCTACACATTAAATCAGATATAATGTTTCGAAATTTCTACATAAAAAGAGTTTAAATGAAAAGGGAAACAAATCTAGCACACTATCTATTATTTTGTTAACCTAACAAATAGGAAAAAGGAAAACATCACAAAAACCACCGCATGTATTATTTTGTTAACCTAAAAAAGATAGGAAAAAGAAAAACATCACAAAAATCAGTGCGCGGTATTTTTTTTTAACACTCTATCAATGTTTATTTAATGATTTTAGAGGGAAAATAATGATTTTAGCGGGTATTTAATGATTTTAGAGGGAAAATAATGATTTTGGCGGGTATTTAATGATTTTGGAGGGAAAATAATGATTTTGGCGGGAAATCATAAAATGGTTATTCTTTTAATATAATGATAGATTTGGAAAATTCATCAAAATAGACTCTGAAATTAATATTCATAGCATTTATAGAAAAAAAAGTCAATTTTAACATATTAATATTTTAATACGAATAAAGACTCAATTTAACTCTGCAAAAGTTTGATGTGTTGAATATTCAACCGTAATCAAACATACATTTATGATATAATAATATTTGGGTTCATATTGAATATCTCAAGTTATCTATCACGATTGAATTATATTTACAAATCTGTTTGATTTTTAAAAGAATCTTACTTAACAATTATTAATTG